TCTAACTGTCAAGAAATTTCTCTTTAATTCTAGGTTGGTTTCTCCTTGATTAGTTTCCATCCATGGTTTCTTGTCCTGCTTCAGGTGTTTTGGAGAATAGGTTGACCCCCCTTTTTGGGGCAGCCCCCTCAGATATTGGAACACTGCTATCATTTCATCCCTAGTCCTTCTCATTGTAGACTAACATTCCCAGTTCCACCAGCTGTTCTTCCTGTTCTACCACACGCAGCTTTATCTACTGGTAAAGACAATATTGGTTTATCCATTCACATTTTAGCTAGGATGCCACAAACATAATACAAGCCCATTTTTGACCTAAGCAAGTTCAAAGTATCCAACGAAACCTAGGAACTCTAATCTAAAAACATCCTTAAATATAATGAAATTGGGGAAGAAGTAGAAATTGCAGCTTGAAGATTAGACCGTTTTATACTTTCTACCTATTTAGAGTTGTTTACAATCTTAATTAGCAGAGCCTCTATCAGAAAATATTCTCTCATATATCTTTCATGACTTTTTGATCCACATCCCTCTAGTATTTGCTGTCATTTGATTGCATATTTAGTGTGCTTTATATTTTCTCCTTACTAGGTCAAGATGCTTGCTTTTCATTGAATCCCTAATCAAATATAATTGCAGGAGACTATAAACCTAAAGTTGTTGTGACATATCTTCAGAATGTATATAATCTAGTTTGATGTCCATGAAGACTAATGAGGTCTTATGAACAGATGTGTTGGCTCCGTCTTTTTTCCTTCTGCACCTGGGGCTAAGGAGGCAGTTTACAGATTGACCAAAATACAATTAGAGAAGCCCTCCCTGGACCCGGCAGTATTGGCCAACTACCGTCCTGTCTCCAACCATTGCTTTGTGGCGAAGGTTGTTGAGAGTGTGGTCGCGCAACAGTTTCCACAATTCCTGGAGGAAACGTCTTATCTAGATCCGTTCCAGTCGGGTTTCAGGCCTGGGCACAGCACGGAAACGGCATTGGTCGCGTTGGTAGATGATCTCTGGAGGGCTCGGGACAGGGGTTGCTCCTCTGTTCTAGCCCTGTTAGACCTGTCAGCGGCTTTTGATACCATCGACCATGGTATCATGCTGCACCGGTTGGAAGAGTTGGGGATGGGGGGCACTGTGTTACGGTGGTTCTCCTCCTTTCTCTCTGACCGGTCGCAGTTTGTGTTGGCAGGGGGGCAGAGGTCGACCTCGAGGCCTCTCATTTGTGGAGTGCCTCAGGGGTCGGTCCTCTCGCCCCTTTTGTTCAACATTTATGTGAAGCCACTGGGTGAGATCATCCGTGGCTTTGGGGTGAAGTACCACCAGTACGCTGATGACACCCAGCTGTACATCTCCACCCCAGGCCATCCCAACGATGCCCTTGAAGTGATGTCCCAGTGCCTGGAGGCTGTGCGGATCTGGATGGGGAGGAACAGGCTCAGGCTCAACCCTTCCAAGACTGAGTGGCTGTGGCTCCCGACATCCCGATATAGTCAGCTGACTCCATTGCTGACTATTGGGGGCGAGTCTTTGGCCCCCTCGGAGGGGGCGCACAATCTGGGAGTCCTCCTGGATATGCAGCTGTCCTTGGAGGAACATCTGACGGCTGTAGCCAGGGGGACCTTTTCTCAGGTTCGCCTGATTTGCCAGTTGCGACCCTTTCTTGATCGGGATTCTATGTGCACAGTCACTCATGCCCTCGTCACCTCTCGCCTTGACTACTGCAACGCTCTCTACATGGGGCTCCCCTTGAAGAGCACCTGGAGGCTCCAGCTGGTCCAGAATGCGGCCGCGCAGGTAATTACGGGAGCTGCATGGCGCTCCCACATAACACCGCTCCTGCGCGAGCTGCACTGGCTCCCAGTGGTCTTCCGGGTGCGCTTCAAGGTGTTGGTTACCACCTTTAAAGCGCACCATGGCATAGGACCTAGTTATCTTCGAGACCGTCTGCTGCTACCGACAACCTCCCATCGACCTGTGCACTCCCACAGAGAGGGTCTCCTTGGGGTGCCATCAGCCAAACAATGTAGGCTGGTGACCCCCAGGGGGAGGGCCTTCTCTGTGGGGGCACCTACCCTATGGAACCAGCAGCCCCCTGAGTTAAGGAGAATCCAAGACCTTGGTGCCTTCCGCCGTGCCCTTAAAACTTTCTTTTTTCATCAAGCCGGGCTGGCTTAACATATTTTTAAATTTTAAATTTTTAATTGATTTGTCATTTTAAACTGGGGCCAAATTAATATATATTCTTTTAATTGTTCTTAATGTTTGTATTGTATGTTTTTATCTGGCTGTACACCGCCCTGAGTCCCTTGGGAGAAGGTGCGGTATATAAATTTGAAATAAAATAAATAAATAAATAAAATAAATTAGAGCTTTGCCTTTGCCTGTGAACCTTTCAAGTCCTGCCTTTGTGGTCTCTCACACCCTGAGAATGTTGCAAGCCTTATATCCCTGTGTTAATTTTAAGTAATTTATTGGTTTCATTCTACTAGAGCAGGGATTGGCAACCTTAAACACTTAAAGAGCCAGAAAGGTCCTAACCGGAAGCCCCCCCACCCCCACCCCCATTCAATTTTGGAGCCGACCGGAAGTCCGGTTCCCCCACCATAGAGACTCCTCCTAGCACGGCATCCTTTTTCCTCTGCCAATTGGAAGTCTGGTTACCTCACCATAGAGTCTCCTCCTAGCACGGTGGCCTTTTTCCTCTACCTGTCCTAACCGAAAGCCCTATCAATTGTAGAGCCGACTGGCGACAGGGAGCTGCAGCAGAGGGATGAAAGAGCCACATGTGGCTCTAGAGCCGTGGGTTGCTGAACCCTGTACTAGAGCAACATGGTGGCCTAGCGATAAAGATGCTTGCCTCCCACTTGCCCACTTGGAAGGTTGAGACTTCAATCCTAGGTAGTGGCAGATATTTCTCTCCTAGGGTGCAGAGAAAAAAGAAAGGAAAAAAAATCTGTTGTATGGCATCAGGAAGGGTATACAGCCAATAAATGCTCAGCTCCACTCAGACATCCCAACTCTACCCCAAATTAAAAGATTATGGGGTCATAAAAAGAGATTTATTGGTTTCATTCTACTATTTGCTTCACTTCTATAGCACTTTCCTGTCTTTCTGTGATTATTTCCTCTTGACTTGCCTGGGTACAGGAATTCAGGGACAAGAATTCAGAGACTAACTGTAACTTGCTAATTTGCTAAATACTACAGGTAGTCCATGGTTGGAGGTGATGACAGTCATAAAACACATGGCCAATCTGATTTTATCATCTTTTTTTGTGGTGGTCTCTAAGCGAAGAGCCATAAAGAAATCATTATCAGAAGTGGGTTTCAGCAGGTTCTGACCAATTCTGGAGAACCGGTAGTGAAAATTTTGAGTAGTTCGGAGAACCGGTTAATACCACTTCTGACTGGCCCCATCCCCATCTATTATCTGCCTCCTGAGTCCCAGCTGATCAGGAAGAAATGGGGTTTTTGCAGTAATCTTCCCCTGGAGTGGGGTGTGGGTGTGGGGGTGGACATTTAAAAGTATCCTTCCCCTGCCACACCCACCAAGCCACACCAACAGAACCGCTAGTAAAATAATTTGAAACCCAGCACTGGTCATTATGATCATAAAGTGGCCACCATGATTGTAGAGCACCTATCATAGTCATTAAGCAAACCAATAATTCACTCTAGGTGCAGTTTTGCCAAAATTGGAAAGTAAATGCTGGTTTTGACAAATCATAGCAAAACAGGGTCATGTGACCATGGGATACTCTAAATTACTATAAATGTGGAGCAGTTGCCGAGTATCCAAAGTTTGTTCCTGTGAGTTCAGGAGGGAGAGAACTTCCAGATCATCAGAACTTTGAATCTGGATTGTAAGGAGCTCCCCAGGTTGGTCTGTTATAACTTTGGTCATAAATCAAGGACTACCTGTATTCTTTAACTCCTCTTCAGTTGTGGGAATTTTAGTGAGTACCACAGAACTTTGTAATCCAACAAATTGTTGGAAGAAATGTCCATCTTGGTACAGTTCCAGATGGACATTTGGAAAAATGCTTGGAAAGATGGTTTAATGGTGGACAGGATCAAATGGTTTGAGTTCCTAAGCAGAAAAAGGGCAGAGATGCTGAGAGTCTCTGGGTTTTATACCCTCTCTGGCTTTGAACTTCCGGGGGCACAGGAAGAGTATCCTGATTGGTTGCTGTCAGAGGTCATAGCTAGCCTTGCTGGCTGATGTAATCTTCCCAGGTGCCATGTGGTGAGTTTCTGTTGCTAGATGGGTCCTATTGTGCTGCAGATGATGGTCCATTGACAAAGGTGGGGGGGGAGGCAGGAAGCTGCTTTGTCTTTAAAACATGTTTCTCCATTTCTCAACCAGGGAAATATAATATTCTGCCTTTTTAATATTTCCTAAAATATTTCATTCTTCTAAGACAGGTGTGGGTGCTAACTTCCTACAATATTATGGTCTATAACTCATGAACCAGAAATATATGATATGCCCTGAGACACACTCTGGGGACATGGCTTATTGGTTGGACCCAACTACCTATGCAAGATGGAGCAAAAATACAAAGGTTTAAGATTATGTGTTCTTTATTTAAACCTTAAAAAAATCTAGGTTAAGAGTTTTCAATGTTTCCTTTACATCATCTGGTGGTTATCCACATTTCTGCAGCCCTCAGTCTGGTAACTCTATTAAAACGTACATATCCATGAAATATTTTCACTGTTCACACAATATACTTACCAGTTCAGTTATGAATCTAGCAGCTATATTTGTACATCCTACTAAGCTTTGTTAACGTCATCTGGGCCTTTTGAAAAACAGCTTAAATGTACCCAGCTTGTTGGGTTACTTTATTGTTCAGTTATTTGTGCAAAACCAGAAAATGAGGCTAATTCAGCAGCCAGCTGAAATGTTTCATGTGAACACATCCTGTTAGCATTAATCAGAACTGCATGTTGGTGTCATAGTAATGGCAAACAAAATAATAGAAGCCAACAACAGGTGATATTTGTTCCTTTTTATTTATCTCTCGTTATTCTTCCTTCTCCTTTTCTTATTCACTTCCTTTTGATCAAGTAATTGAGGGATGGTTCTTTCCCTGTAATCAGAGAGAGAGAGAGATTGTATAGTTGGCTTTCTACAATCAAAAATACTTCCTGCACAAACCTTGTACTTTTCCCTAGAATATCTTATACTTTTGCAAAAACAGAGCATGTGACCGGCATAATGGCGAGCTCTGCACTTGAGATACATGCTGAGTAACCCTTCCTACCCTCCTAGATAGCCCAGCTGTTCTCTCCAGCCATGGAAAAATTCTAATGCTGCCCTTTGCTCTCTCTTGATAAGCTCTCTTCTCACAATGGATCTTTAAGGTTTTTTTAAAAAACCATGCCTGTTCTTGTAATTATTTGTACATGTCCCTATGCCGTGCCACTGAGTCATTGTGTTGAGTTAGACTAATTAGTGGAGAGGCAGCAGTGGCAGCTGGCTGGGTCATGAGGAGAACTGTGTGCTTATTAGATGGAGAGGCACATGAGCCAATGTGACTACCTCACGTGGCCATCATTTGCAAGCGCTGCTGTCGTTCAAACTAGCTATTCCCGGAAGACCAGAAACATTTGGTTCTGTGACGGTTGTACCATACTAAAATTTAAAAAGTCAGACTCTTCTTTCCTGTAATTCCATACCCCGAGCACAAACAACACACCTGCCAGAGGAAAGAAGGCAACACAATTGCAATGCAGAAGATGGGGAGGAAATCTCCAAGTCTGTGACCTGAGTAAAAGTCCAAGAGAGAAACCAGGTTACCTGCTGATCTGCACCTTCGTTCCCAGGAAGTGCAAAAGGCCAAACGTTCTTGCACAAGGCTGCTTGCGCTCTTCAGAAACTCCCATTGATGATTTTTGTGCACTGAAAAATAGGGTAGAGAAGGAAAAAACTTAAAAACATTATCTTATTATGGGATATGCAAAAGCTGCACTTGCTGTAACCGAGGTAACAGGTTGTTCTAGGAAAGATGGGGGCAAGTAACACGACCCATGAAAGAAAAACCATCATTGTTATTTCCCATCATCTGTCATCTGAGTTTGCCAGATGGTAGAGCTGGCCTGAGACCAAGGGGTGGGTTGTACTTACCTTTACTACCGATTCGCAACGGGGCCACTCACGCTTCCTGATGATGTCAGGATCAGTGGGCGGAGCCTTCCACCAATTTTATTACCGGTTCCTGCGAACCGGTCCAAACCGGGGGCAACCCACCACTGCCTGAGACCAATGTCTACACTTTTCATTGTCTGGCCTTTTGTGACATGGGTGAAATCCAAAGGCTGACTACTGCCAGAAGGATTCTACCAGACAGATCTAAGAAGGTTCCTTGATAGACAAAAGGATCCACTCAAGCGCCTCTCCATAGTCAATCTGTCCAGACCCTTTTTGGATCTGGAGTCAACTGCACCTTGTGTGGTAAGCAGAGGTGGGTTTCAACAGGTTCTGACCAGCTCTGGAGAACTGGTAGCGGAAATTTTGAGTAGCTCGGAGAACCGATAGTAAAAATGCTGACTGGCCCCACCCCCATCTATTCTCTGCCTCCCAAGTCCCAGCTGATCAGAAGGAAACGAGGATTTTGTAGTAACCTTCCCCTGGAGTGGGGTGGGAATGGAGATTTTACAGTATTGTAGGAAGTTTGTCAATGGGCCATTAAGGCCTGGGCCAGTCTATTCTACATAACAAAGATCTGCCTCCTTCAGGCAGAGCCATAGTAGGAATTGCCAAAGATCCAACAAAGATAGGATTAGCCCTCTACACAATATCAGCAGAAACTCACCACATGTGACCTGGGAAGCACATGTGACCATCAGCCAGCAAGGCCCCCACCCCCTGGGAGTCTGACAACCAATCAGGGTACTCTTTCGGGGCCCCAAGAAATGCAGAGCCAGAGAGAACATAAAAACCTGAGGATTTACTGTATCTGCCCTTTTTCTGTTCAGGAACTCAAGCCATGTGATCCTGTCCACCATTAAACCATCTTTCCAAGCAGTCTCCATGTTTCCAATGTCTGTTTTCCCCACTTGGAGCAGAACCTAGAAGGATGTTTCTTCCAATAGTATCCTTCCCCTGCCATGCCCACCAAGCCATGCCCACTAAGCCATGGCACGCCCACCAAGCCACGCCCACAGAATCGGTAGTAAAAAAAATTGAAACCCACCACTGGTGGTAAGGGGTAATCTTTTGATAACTATCCTTCATCTACCCACCCAACCCTGATATCTCTGTATCTGCCCAATGGCTGGGAAATGCATGTATGCATTTCTCCCCATTTGGCCTGTGCCTTTCCATTCCTACACCCCCAATTTCACAGTGCCTAATTGCAACATGCAAGGAAGGATTAACCCACTCTTTGTGCTGGCCTTTTTGAAAATCCCTGCCAGCAGATAACAATTAGGCTTCTAAAGCAAGATTTGAGTTGCAACAATAGAGGCCTTTTCAAGAACCAGCACAAGCTCAGGGAACAAAAGTTCCCATTTGCAGAAAAATCTTCCTCCTTTTCTATTTTCTTTAGCTCCTCTGCAGCAGCAATAGCAGAAAAATTGTCAAGGAAGGGTTAATTTGCTCCTTTTCTGGTATTTTAACAGTTAAAATACAGGCAGTCCTCGGCTTATGACCACAACTGGGACCAGAATTTCCGTTCCTAAGCAAAGCAAGTGAGTTTATGTCCAATTTTTTTACCTTTGTTTTCCCACGGTTGTTAAGCAAATCACTGAAGTTGTCAAGTGAATCATGCAGTCATCAAGCAAATCTGACTTCCTCCATTGAGTTTCCTTGTTGGTAGCTTCCTGGAAAGGTCACAAATGGTGATTATATGACCCGGGAATGTTGCAACCTTTGTAAATACATGCCAGTTGCAAAGCACCCAAATTTTGATCACAAGACTGTGGGGATGTTGTGATGGTCGTAAGTGGGAGGACCGATCACTTTTCTTTTAGCATTGATGTAACTTCAAATGGTTGCTAAACAAATGTATGTAAATTGAGGACTACCTGTATGCAGGAGAAGATCAACTCCTCTAATTTGCTCCAATGAAGGTTCTTTCCCTAGAAAAATATGAAAAAAATATATTTGGCCATATTTGATTTGTGTATCGGGAAAGAGATCCTCATACCCTTGTATCTGGCCTCCTGCATCTGTTGTCTTAATTTTTGCCTGTTGGCCTCTTAAAAAAAAGGAAAGGTAGGAATTTTGAAATCGGTAATCCCAAAATACTTACAAGAGATCAGATTGAAAAGACTACAGTAGTTGCTTGCTTTTATTCCCTGATTCCTTCTGGATATCTTCAAGATAGATGAATGTAGACTTGATAGACGTTATGGGAATCAAGCCTAAGATTATAGACTTCTTGTCTATTGAGGAGGGAGGATGAATGTGGGAAATCAGAAAACACTATTATAGGCTGACTTATTGAAGGAACCAGGAGTGCACCAATAGGATAGATCAGATTGGTTGGGCAGATGCTGTGGGAGATAAGTGATCCCTCAAATAACTAGGCCAAATGTCGTGTGGGGATTAATAGACACTGTAACATCCAGTACCTTGAATTGTCCAGGAAGCAAACTGACAAGCAGTACAGCCTGCAAAATAGGGATGTTAAATTGGCCTACTGAGGCATACTCATCATTGACCATTACCAGTACATTCTGGACCAGCTGAAGCTTCTGGGTGCTCTTCAATGGCATTCCTATGTAGAACATGTTATAGTAGTCAAGTCATGAGGTGACCAGAGGATGGGTGCCAAAGAAGATGCTGTTGGAAGAAAAATCTAGTCCGGTTCCAATCCGGGAGAAAGGCACTGGAAATAAAATGGAGGCAGCATGGAAAAAAGGTCTCTGTTTATTGATGAGCAGAATGTAGTTCTGGGACAGCTGACAAATTGGTTTGATAAGTACATGGATTTTTATGGGGTTCTGAGATGTTGCTGGGAGTTGTGCAATGTCTGTGAGCCTGGTGTCTTTTGATATTCTAATGGTGGTGAGTTAATCCTATTACGTCCTAAAGGGTCCTGTCCTGTCCTTCTTAATCCCATTAGTTGGAGCTGAATGCACTTTGTCTGTGAATAGATTGGCCCAGGCTTTCTTAATGGGCACAAAATATCCATCTCTAAAGACTTCAGGCATATGCTGGAGGTTGTTGGGTCTGCTTTCTGCCTTTGTTAAGATTCTTTTTTCTCCATTTCTCCTTTGGGGAAATATAATATTCTGCCTCTTTTAATCTTCTCCAAAATATTTTATTCTCGGGTGGGGGGAGGGTGGGGCTTTCTACAATGCCATGGTACAACTCAGCCAGAAAGAGGTCAGTGTCCTTCCCCACTTCCCCCTCTGTGTGGTAACTGAGGAACAGAAAAATGGCTGCTGCCAGGTTCTGTTCAAAGTTGACACTCGGATTTGTACCCCCAGATTCAAATAGAGAGGGTGAACGGTCCCACTTAACAATCTCCACTTTCTATCATTAGCATTTTTCCATCCCTGCCCCTTTGCAAATGGTGTACGCAAGACGAGAGATTCAGCCAACAGGTGAAAGAAATCCTGTTAAAAAGCAAATTTAATTCCATGAGATAACGGTTACTGGGGATGTATTTACAAGCATGTTCTGAAATGAAAAACGTATCCCCATTTGATAAATCATATAATGCAAAAAGCTGGTTTCATTTTAAAAATAAACCTTCAACTCCCCCGCTTCGTCTTGTTTCCCCCTCCCCATATATATATATATATTTTTGCATCTATCTACAAACACCTGGCCTTGTTTATGAAATAGATTAGAGAGTTCAACAGTCATGGACAGACTTAAAAAATAATATGCATGACTTAGAAAAGATTTTTTTTTTTTATTGAATGCATAAAAGAACTAATATGCAATACAGGAGAAAAAAAACCACAAAATTATATTGAAAAGAAAAGAACTTGCAAAAAAAAAATGTGCAAACCGTACATAACAAAATGAGCACATTTTGTGTGTGTATGTGCGCTGTTCAGTTTTATTTAGCCAATAATGGATAGAAAAACATATTGCAGCAGTTTTAATAGCAGCATTGCTGAAAATAAAAGAGACAGAAACGTCTAGTCTGCCAGGGGATAAGCTCAGATCTGCACTACTAAAATTGGAAATGACAACTCCAGGAATGGCTGCAATCCCTAGTTTTGGTTGTGGAAGTACACCCTCAGCTACGGCCACAACCAAGAAATCTAGGCCAACAGATGAATATGCCCATGAATATAAGTATAAAATCGTCAGTTACGTCCATGGGAAGGTGCAGTCAATGTCACGGTAGTGGCCATGCTATACACAGTTAAAACCCTGTCCCTTTTGTTTAACCAGCATTGTACAGGCAACACACAAGGGTTTCGGTTGCATGCCTGCAATCACCAACTTGGTGTTTTTGGCAAGCTTGCCAGTGTTACACAAGATGCCCCTGTATTTCTGAAAGCCCCTTTTGACTGATCAAGCATAAATAAGATTCCGTTGTTCCTCATCCCACTTGTTGCCAACAACAGATGTTGGTTTAGACCGGGAATAATTCTGTTAAGAGTGAGATGGACAGAAAGAAATAGAAATAGAATAACAGAGTTGGAAGGGACCTTGGAGGTCTTCTAGTCCAACCCCCTGCCCAGGCAGGAAACCCTACACCACTTCAGACAAATGGTTATCCAACCTCTTCTTAAAAACTTCCAGTGTTGGAGCATTCACAACTTCTGGAGGCAATTCATTCTATTGATTAATTGTTCTAAATGTCAGGAAATTTCTCCTTAGTTCTAAGTTGCTTCTCTCCTTGATTAGTTTCCACCCATCGCTTCTTGTCCTGCCCTCGGGTGCTTTGGAGAATAGCTTGACTCGCTCTTTCTTTGTGGCAACCCTTGAGATATTGGAAAACTGCTATCATGTCTCCCTTAGTCCTTCTTTTCATTCAACTAGACATACCCAGTTCCTGCAACCGTTCTTCATATGTTTTAGCCTCCAGTCCCCTAATCATCTTTGTTGCTCTTCTCTGAAGAAGTTGAGTCCTGTCAATAGATCAGAAACTTTGAATCTTAAGATGAAGAGTGGGGTTGTCCACCCTTGGCAACTTGAAGATTTGTGGACTTCAACTCCCAAAATTGCTGTTTGGGGAATTTTGGGAATTGAAGTCCAAGGTCTTGCCAAAGTTGGACGCCTTAGTATAGAGTAGGGTGTCAAAATCAAGGTCGGTGGACCAGATGTGGCCCATGGGGTGCTTAGATTTGGCCCGCGAGGCCACTCTGGAAACAACAAAGGTCTGGCCCGCAGTGCCTCTGCGAGAGAAAATGGAGCTCGGGGGGGGGGGGGGGCTTCACAACAGAGATGAAATCCAGCAGGTTCTGACAGGTTCTGGAGAACCGGTAGCGGAAATTTTGAGTAGTTTGGAAAACCGGCAAATACCACCTCTGGCTGGCCCCAGAGTGGGGTGGAAATGGAGATTTTGCAGTCTCCTTCCCCTGCCATGCTCAGCAAGCCACACCCAGAAAGCCACACCATGCCCACCAAGCCACACCCACAGAACCGGTAATAAAAAAAATTTGGATTTCACCACTGCCTCACAAACTCCGTTTTTGGCTGTGATCGCCTCCTGCAGCTCTCTGGCAGCAAAAATGGAGCTTGGGATGGGGGGCTCTGTTTTCACTGGCAGAGAGCTGCAGGAGGCCTTTGTGCCCAAAAACAGACCTAGTGAGCCCCCCCCAAGCTTTAGTTTTGCTGGCAGAGGGTTGCAGGAGGCTGTTGCTGCCAAAAACGGAGCTTGGGAGCCCTTTTTCACTGGCAGAGCACTCAGGCCACAGGCGCCTTGACACAAGTGACCACAGCCACGCTGGTCAAGCTGGCCATGGCCACCTTCGCCATGCCCACTCCGTCCCCTGAGGTCTAACACAACCCTGATATGGCCCTCAATGAAATCAAGTTTGACACCCCTAGTATAGAGCAAGCAGTACTAACAGTTTCGTCAGAGCAGTTTTCAGTATTGTCAGTATAATTTTCGTCTGCTTGGGATTTCTTTTCTTACCAAACATTTAGTTGGTTTTAGAGAGACACTCCAAGGAGCAACAGATAGTTTTGGTTCTTCCTGTTTTTTGAAGCCTCACCTGTGAGACAAATCAATCTTGATTAGCAGTTCAGCTTTAATTGCTGTGTTTTTATTATCTCTGCCCTATACAGAGATTGACAGGGTAGGTTTGATTGACAGGTCAGATTGAGGTTTTCTTTTAAATCTTCCATGGCTGAACATTTTAGAATGGGATTTCTCCCTATATACTGAGCAGACCTGGTCCCAGATTGAGAAAGAAGACAATTTGTGAATTGGTTTCCAGTTCTGGATACCTGAATGTTTTTTACAAAATGTATGATGACGAGAATTAGAAGAGAATATAGGTAGCTCAGGATTGAACTGTGGAGTCCTTAGTACTCTGAACTTGGTCATTTGCTTTCACTGTCAGACTAGGCAATATTATTAGTACTGTGCTAGTGAGTCATATCAGATATCAGACCTCTCCCTTCTTGACCACATCACAAATGACACTATTCGATAACATTTTGGTGTGGCACCAATTATAGAAAAGATGAGAGAAGGCCAGCTCTGTTGGTATGGACATGTCCAGAGAGCAGCACCTTCCTCCATTGCCAAGACTGCCTACCAACTAGAAGT